ACACAAACGTAAACACTAGAATAAAATTTATCAAGGTGTTAAAGTAGTTTATGTGGTTATTTTGGGTAGTGGATAATAAAGTTCTTCCCTTCCTTCCTTTTTCCCCTCTTTTCCCTTCTCCTTCCTTTCCCCCCCCCCTTCTCCCTTCTATTCATCTTCTTTTTCCCTGCTCATCTTCCTTGTTATTCTCAGTTTCCTCTGTTTTCCAAGCATTTGGGCTCTACTTTTATAATTTGAAGGAATACACTGTTTTGCTTTATTTTTAACTTTGTCTCATAAAATCTGCTATTTGGATTTTCCTTAGGGAATTTAGGTAGAAAAACAAAATGTTCCTCTCTGGTATACAAATACCTGTTTTCCTTAATGATTCCAAGTTCTCTTTCTCTATGGGTGAAGAAGAGAGAAAATTGGAGTATGAGGAACAACATTCCACTGTGTCTTTCAGAAGCAGACCTAGAAAATCATTCCACCGTGTTCATTCCTCTTCAGGAAATGAATTATTTATATATGTATATACTAAGTTGCTTTAGTCATTTTGGACTCTGACCCTATGGACTGTAGCCAGCCCAAGTCTCTCTGCCCATGGGATTCTCCAGGCAAGAATAGTGGAGTGGATTGCCATGCCCTCCTGCAGAGCATCTTCCTGATCCAGGGATCAAACCCATGTGTCTTATGTCTCCTGAATTGGCAGGTAGATTCTTTACCACTAGTGCCACCTGGGAAGCCCATATATGCATGTGTGCATGCGAAGTCACTTCGGTTTTGTCCCGCTCTTTGCAACCCTATGGACTGTATCCCGCCAGGCTTCTCCGTCCATGGGATTCTCCAGGCAAGAATATTGGAGTGGGTTGCTATGCCAACCTCTAGGGGATCTTCCTAACCCATGTCTGTCTCTTACCTCTCCTATGTTGGCAAGCAATTTCTTTACCACTAGCAGCCTCTGTAAAGCCCACATATATAATATATATGTATACACATATGAAAGTGAAAGTCTCTCAGTCATGTCTGACTCTGTGACCCTGTGGACTACACAGTCCATGGAATATAGATGTATATGTATATATGTATATATATACACACACATGTATCAGGTGGTGCTATATATATATATATGTGTGTGTGTGTGTGTGTGTGTGTGTATATAATATATACATGTATCAGGTAAGGAACTCTCTTGCCAACACTGGAGACATAAGAAATGTAGGTTCGATCCCCTCTGGAAGATCCCCTGGAGGAGGGCAAGGCAACCCACTCCAGTATTCTTGCCTAGACAATCTCAGGGACAGAGGAGCCTGTCAGGCTGTAATCCATAGGGTCGAAAAGAGTCAGACATGACTGAAGTGGCTTAGCATGTATGCATGTATATATAAAATATACACATACACATATTAGTTGAAGGACTGATAGAAAAACAAGTCAGATACTCGCTGTATAATTATTTAATGGTATTTAATCATTATATGTTTTTTTCCACAACAGTTACAAAGAAATTAATTTTGCCTTTATTGTGTAAAATTTAAATGATTCACAGCTTTTCTGATTTTTCATAACATTTTCTAATAAATTAACAAAACTAGCTCTTTAATTATCAAACTATAGCCTGAAAAAAATTTTCCAAGGAAGCAGAAGTAAGTCATGTTTAAAAGCCAGGACAGGAAAGGTGGTAATAGAAAAAAATAATGCTCAGTAATGATCAAAAGCATTTGACTATGTCAGTACTGTATCCCAATAATCAAGCGCTGGTTTTAGGGAAGGTGCACAGCTCACTGCAAATTACAAAACATTGAAAGTTGAACCTGTTAGTGGCAGAATACTGGTGATAGTGCTCATATTGTGCTAATAACTGTTTATAGCCTGATATGGAGCAGGTGGTCTGAGTCTGAGAATACTAAGCTTGCCTTGGACAAGTGAAATTTTCACAATGCTAAATATATTTTTAACCTATATGTGTGTGTGTGTGTGTGTGTGTGTGTGTGTGTGTATATATATATTTAATGAATCCTATCAGCACAATCATCATAGCTGCTTCATGTGCTTTATTTCAGGGGAAATTGAGAGTAGGATCATCATATTAACTTTGCATTTTAACTCCAAGCTGCTGGTGTCCCATGGGTCCCAGACTGAAGATCAGGGGTGCTGGGCCCAGGTCTGATTCAAGTCTGAGTCTGTCTAGAGGCTGGTATGCCGTGGTTCTATTTTCACAAAACACCAGATGAATTCCATGGGAGGAAGTCATGGTAAGCAGAAGGGCAGCAGAGATGCCAGGCAGCCTTCAAGAATCCCAGCGGTGACTTGATTCAGTGTCAAGGAAAGCCACTTTCAGTGGATCAAATCTGAGGAATAAGGAACAGAATGATGGACAGGGCAGGAACATGTTTTTGGAACACCTATGACAAGTATCTGTAGGAGAGGGGGTGCCAAAGTTATGGGAAGATTGTGAGGGGTTTGATTCCTGTGGACACTGTAGAGATACACCTTTTTTGTATCCGTCATTGTTACTTCGGTCTTACCCTCAGACTACTATCATCTAGAAAACATGGATTACTCTTATATCCTTTTAGAAAGAACAGAAAAGTAGTTATCAGATGGCATACAGAAAAGACACATACATGTGAGCTTCTTGTCCTTGCCTTTAAAGCAATAAACACTAGGATCATTTGGAAAAAACAGCAGTTATCAGGAAATCAGTGAGCCATGATGAAAAAAAAAACCCTAAATAACATTTAATCTTTCAAATAAGAATTCTTCATTCCTTTTTAAAACAATATTTATTTTTATTTATTTATTTGGCTGTGCAGGGTCTTAGTTGTGACATGTTGTATCTAGTCCCCCAACCAGGGATCAAACCGAGGGCCCCAGCATTGAGAGCTCAGTCTTAGCCACTGGACCACCAGGGGAGTCCCAAATTCTTCATTCTTGAGTTGAACTGACAGATGAGGTGGCATTTAGACCGAATGATTAGACTTATACCTTTGTGGTGCTGCTGAACATCAGAAACATGTGATAGAGGTGTTCTTTGGTGTTACTCTGCTTTCTTAGTCCTGCATGTTTATGTTTGCTCAATTATGGCTGAGTTGCACTAGTTTTGCAAAGAATTAGCTTCTTCCAAACTGTAAAATTTATGAGCATATTACTGTCTGTAGTACTTCATTACCCTTTTAATGACTGCTGCATAGGGAGTGATGTCACCTATCTCATTCTTGATGTTACTGATGGCTGTTTTTCACTTTCTATTTTTATCACTCTTGCCAGAGTTTTGTTGTTGCTGTTGTTTAATTACTAATTCATGTCCAACTCTTTTGAGACTCTGTGGACTATACACACCAGGCTCCTCTGTCCATGGCGTTTCCCAGGCAAGAATACGGGAGCGGGCTGCCTTTCTTCTCCACCCAGGAACTGAACCTGCCTCTCCTGTGTCTCCTGCATTGGCGGGGTGGATTCTTTACCACTGAGCCACCTGGGAAACCCTTAGTCCTGTAACTAATCACTTTTCTATCATTTATATCTGATTTGGAAAATATTTTAGAACAATCCAATAACAATTTCAAGACAAAAAATTCTACACACTTCATAGCTCCTTTCTATTACATGAATGTGTAAATTGAATTCCCTCTCAAGATGAAAAAAAAAACAAAGGTTGGCTTCCCAAAAATGTTTTCATTGGCTTTAGGGAACTAAAACGCACCAGTCTGAGTGACTAATACTTCCTGGAAAACAAAGATAGATCAACACATAATTAAGTTCTGGCTCAAATATAATTGTTGTCTTGGAAACAGTTTTGGGGATAAATATGGTTATGCTAATAAAACTTTTCATGATTTCCACCAATGATCTGGTTTATTAATTAGGCCAGACCATCTTACTATCTTAATTAAGGCTACTCTTTTTGGACTATTCAAAGGGTTAAAAAAAAGTTCCTAAGAGGACATTGAAAAGGAGGAAAAGGGGATAAACGTGACCTTCGTTATTTACCAGCGCTCAAGGTTAAACGTACTTTTTGGCACACATGTGGGTTTCAAACATCTTTCCTACTTCATTAAGCAGAAAGCAGAGTCGTATATACAGCATTTTAAACTAAGAATTCCTAGTGTTGTTTTTCTGAACCCCATCTTCGGAGGATTTCAAATGGGACGAACTCAAGAGAAACAAGCGAAAGCAAAATCCTAAGGAGCCAGGATTTTTCTGGTTCCCGCTTTCAGTAACGAGAGTTTTGTAGGAAGTTCTCCCCCGAGTGTAGCCCGAGGAGCAGCCTGCGGGCTCCGGAGGGTGTCTGGCGGAGGCCGAGTGTGAACTCCGGGCGCGGGAGCGCATCCCGGTCTGAGATCACACCCACTCGGGGTGTGCGCGAGTGAGCGCGCGGTGGCCGCGCGCGTGTGTACGTGTGGGGAGGTGTGCGCCAAAGGGGTGGGGTGAGGGGCGGCGAGGAGGGCTCTAGGTGAAGCACGAGGCGCGGGAGCGGGAGGTCGCGCGCTCCGGCCTCTCCCCCAGGGGCCGCGGCGGCTGGCTCGCGCTCGGGCTGCCCCTCCCGGTGCGCGCCGCGGCGGCGCCACAGGCCCCTCGACCCTGTGACCACCGCCCTCCGGCCGCCGGGCCCACAGCGGGGACTGGCGATGGCGCGGGACTGACGGTCTCCTCCCTCCGGACTCTTCTGTCCCGCCCGGGGGCTCCCGGGGGCCGCGGCGCCGCCCCGATCTGCATGTGGGGCGCGCGCGCCGGCGGCCGGAGCGAGCGGCCCTCGGTGCCCCCGAGGCGGTGCCCGGCCGCGCGGGCGGACCGGGAGGAGGAGGAGCAGCAGCAGGCCGGGCCGGGCTCCCCGCGCGCCGCCGCCCGGGAGCACGGGCTCCCTGGAGGGAGCTCGGGGCGTCCCAGCCTCGGAGGAGGGACCCGGAAGCAGAAGCGGAGCCCCGAGTCGAGCCGAGCCGCTGCCCCCGCTGCCCGCCGGCGCCGGGTGGGGGTCCCGGCGGCTGGATGGGCAGCGGCGGCTCGGGCCGCGGGCGGCGATGGGCGAGGAGCAGAGCACGGTGAGCGGCGGCGGCGGGCCCCTGGAGGCGCGGACCCGCGCTGGCGGCGCCGCGGGCCCCCCGGAGCCCCCGAGGCCGCCGGGGCACAGCGCCGGGGTGCCCGGGCCGCGCGCCGCCTCCTCCGAGCCGAGCGGCGGCGGCTGCGGAAGCGACTCCGGTTGCGAGGACGCCGGAGCCCCGGAACCCGCGGGGAGCCGGGGGGCCCCGAGCTGGAGCAAGAGCCGGGCACCCGGGCAGCCCGCGGGACTGGCCCTCCCCGGGCCCCTCAACCCCCAGGCTTTGCAAAAGCAGCTGGCCGAGGAGGAGGAGGAAACGGGGGAGCGAAAAGAGAGAGGGGATGAACAGCAGGAGGCGCCCCCCGGCGAGGAGCTTGAGCCCCCGGCCCGCGTCCGCGTCGGGGCCCCGGACGGACTGGTCTTGGACGTGCTGGGCCCGCGGCGCCCGCCCCCGGCCAAGAGACAAGTGTTCTGCTCCGTGTTCTGCGTGGAGAACGACCTGCCCGAGGTGCCCTCGGCGGAGCGGCTGTCGCTGCCCGCGTCGCCACCTCGGGCTCCGCCGGTGACCAACCCTCCCGGCACCCCCTCCTCCTTCCCCAGCCCCCAGCTGTCGCTCCCAGCGGACCCCTTGTCCCCCGACGGCGGCAGCATCGAGCTGGAGTTCTACCTGGCGCCCGAGCCTTTCTCCGTGCCCAGCCTGCTGGGCGCCCCACCCTACTCCGACCTGGGTGGGGTCGGGGATCCCTATGCGCCCCTCATGGTGCTGATGTGCCGGGTGTGCCTGGAAGACAAGCCCATCAAGCCCCTGCCTTGCTGCAAGAAGGCCGTGTGCGAGGAGTGCCTCAAAGTCTACCTGAGCTCCCAGGTAACCTCAGCCCCTCCGAGCCTCCTCTGTTCCCCATTCAGCTTTCCAAATCCGTGGCCAGGAAATCCCGCTCGCCCGCTCCCTGCTCACAGGAACAGCTGATGAGCACCCTACCGAGGACCTCTATCAGTGTCTTACATCTCGGTTGTTGCCCTTAGAATATTTAAGTGTGTTTGTCTTCGTGGGTTAGTTCGACTGGAATTTAACTTTGGGTGAGCTTTGGGCTTTGATTGGCCGCCATAGAAGGAACAGGGTATGAATGCATTGCCCTCTGCTATTTCTTTTATTAAATTGCGAGCAAGGAGCTTGCTCAAAGAGGAGGGCAGTTGAGCGTGCTTCAGAGGCCTGGTATTCCAGAAACTGACAAATAGTGGGCAGAAAATAAATATGTATTGAGTTCGTGGAGAGAAGGGCTGCAATGAGTGATTCCTGAATTTGAAATTTTGCTACTTTCAGATAATCCAGAGAAAAGTGTTATTAACTATGCATTCCTTGCCCCTGGGTCACTTTTCAGTTTCTTTTTCCACAGTAAAGTTGAAGTACTTTTACTCACTGAAGTTTTAAGCCAGCAGAATGCTTTATTTCTTTAAGAGGGAACAAAACAGAAAAAGCCAAACAAAGCGAAGCAAGGCTAAGAGGCTTAATAAAACAAGCGCTGGTGAAACTTTCCTCCTCGGTTGCTTATTTGAAAGCTTGTTTTTTTTCTTGGAAAGTTGGAAGAGTGCAGTTGACCCGCTTTCCTTCCCTGGTGGTGAATGCGTCCTTCTGGCAGTTTTCAGTCTGTTATGTTTCTGCCAGTGTTTTGCACAATCCGGAATGCCCTTTGATCCCATGTCTGATTGTCCTGGGCCTATTCATCTTTCCAAACCCTGGGCTGTTCAGGTGCCAACTTCTCTGTGAAGCCTTCCCTCACCCTCCAGGCCACGGCTTATATACTTGCAAACACTTCTGCGTGTCTTGCATGCACTGAAGTTGTTCCACATGTCTGTTTGTCTGACTAGACAGCGTCTTAGAGCCTCTGTTGTCTGGTAGATTCATGTTGGTATCCTTCCTCGTAACAGTGTTTAATAACTTTGGCCGAAGGGAAACTAAACAGGATTTCACACTGAGCAGTTCCTCTGTATATTGTGGCTAATCTGTGCTTGTGTCTAGACTGAAAGTGTGTACCCTGCCCAATGGAAAACGCAAAGGGGAATTTAGACGGAATGGAATGTTACACAAGCAGTGACTTGGCCAAGATGGTTGAGATTATCCAAGCGCCTGTGAGAGACTGTGATGTCTCTTTCGTGCTTTATCCGCGAACAGATACTTCAAACGGGGAAAGCCCGCTTCTCACTGTGGCAGTTTCTAGGATGTCACTGTCAGACAATCAAGCAGATAGCCATGGGCAAAAGCCCTGTGGTGGGATTCAGACACTCCCAAGCTATGGGCTCTACTCCAAGGAAGCTCTCCTGTGTGTATACAAGATGTATACACACGAACAGTACAAGGTGGTTATGATGAGGTGTAAACAGAGTGACAATATCATGTAGCTCTTAAGGACTGAATTTAAATACAGTGTGGGTTTAGAGGTTCAAGGGAGGTGGTCATTAGAAGTTGGGGTACTCTGCTTTGTGCTTTGATTTCCTTCAGCATTTCCCTTTCCTGAAAGCAAAATTTTTTTTGCCTCCAAAATCTGATCTGTGTTAATTCTAAGGTCCCTTCTACGCAAAGACTCTGTTTCCACGTCATTTAACTTTTCTGTGTCTTATTTCCTCGCCAATGAAATGGAATTACAGACCATGCTCTGTAAGGACACGCCAGTTCTAAAGCAAAACAAAATCAAGCTGCAGAGCTGTTTGGTTGCCTCACTGAACCAGATCAAAAGGGCATAAAGAGTGCCCTCTTTCTCATTTCCTAAGGTTTCTTGATTTTGACAGTAGTAAATCTGTCAAGCTTGAACTTGCAGGCGTCTTAAGCCTTTTTAAACTAAAGTGATATATTTGAAATAAAAAGTTAATAGTCACTTTTGTCATCATCTTTTGGATTTGTGCCAAATACTTAGTGTATTAGTATCATTTAAGAAAATAAAGCAGAGTTCCTATTAAGCATTTTATGCAGTCATTAAAAATGCATACTAAATGTGAGCTAGAATATTGCCTGGTTAAATAATATTCTTCTAAAAGGAGCTGATGAATTCTTTGGAAGCAGGTACAAAGTTGGAAGACAGGAATGCAAATTTTTAGATGATAAGTCTTATTTCCATTAGTGCCATGGACTGAATTTGTGGCAAAGGCCAGCGGGTAGGTGTCTTCATTATTTCAGTGTACTTTAGTGTATTTCAGTATATTGGGTGGTGACTTAAATACCTCTGTGCGTGCTCAGTTCATCAGTTGTGTCTGACTCTTTGCGACCTCGTGGACTGTAGCCTCCCAGAGTCCTCTGCCCGTGGGATTCTTCAAGCAAGAATACTGGAGTGGGTTGCCATGCCCTCTCCAGGGGATCTTCCAAACCCAAGGGTTGAACCCATCTTGCCTGTGTTTCCTGCATTGGCAGATGGATTATTTACCCCTGAGCCACCTGGGAAACCCAAAGACCTCTATGTGCAAGCATGCATGCTCAATCTTTTAAGTCATGTCTGACTCTTTGTAACCCTTTGGGCCATAGCCCACCAGAGTCCTCTGTCCCTGGGACTCTCCAGGCAAGAATATTGGAATGGGTTGCCGTGGCCTCCCCCAGGGGATCTTCTGGACCAAGGGGTTGAACCAGTGTCTCTTAGGTCTTCTGCATTGGCAGGTGGGTTGTTTTCCACTAGCGTCACCTGGGAAGCCCAAATTCCTCTATATTGTGGTTTAAAAATAATAGTTTTAGTTTTTCAAAGCAGTGATTTGAAAAACTAAAAGTAGTTTTTCTTTAGTGATAAGAATTATTCTTCAGTTATCACTGTGCCTGGGGACTGTGCAGAATCCTTCTTAGTGGAATGACTTTACTGGCCAACAGGTATCATTTGCTGTGGTGAAGTATTGAACTGGTACATTATAATCTTTGGCACACATACATAGGGGTCGATTTAGAGGCCCTAGAGCACCATGACGCAGACAGTGGGAGTTTAACTGGTTTGTGTTGCATGAGTACATAAATCTTTGGTGCATAAACCTCAGAGGTCCATTTCCAATGGCCTGTGTGCACACGTATGAGGCGGCTTAGAGCATGCAGTCCCAGGAATGTCTGCAGTCTCCTTCAGGGCACTGAGCCATTCTGAGAACTGACCTCAGATGGTTTGGCCTTTACCCCACTTTCCTAGGAGGAAGGATTGTTACTTTCCTTGTTTCATAGAATGATACCACACTCATTTCAAAAATTCTCCGCAGGTATCTTTCCTTTATGATTTTGATTGGGGATGGTAAAATCTGGTAGGATGTGAAATACTAATATTTAGCATTTTATATAAAGGAAAGAGAATTGGGGATGCTAAGGGCTTTCTAAAGGTAACAGCTGTTGTGACTTTCATCAGTCTGCTTCAAAGTGCTTGTGATGGCGCATGCATATGAATTGGAATGTATACACCTGTCAGATGAGTATTAATAGAGACAAGCAACATTTCTTCAGCAGTTTGTGAACAAAACAGCTGCTAGATGATATTGTCCTGAAATGACTGTCTACTGTAGTCATCCTAGAACCGGTGACCTAGGGGTGAAAGCTTCTAGACCCTTCTATTAAACTCTGAGTCATCCAGACCTTTGTGGATAAAAGTGTAGCCTGCATTTTCCCTTTAAACCTGAAAGCAACCTGTATATTTTTAGAAACTGGCCTGTTCAAGATGGAGTTTGCCATCAGCCGCCTTCACAGGTGAATTTACAGATCTCTCACGCCAGGTGTGATTTTGGTAGTCTTGAAAATGTGAAGATTAAAAGAGACTGAACTCTTGTTACATCACTCTGCGAATTTAAAAAGTGAGAATTCCGGCATGTGTAAACTTCTCCTGGGTACAGTGTGTGTGCGTGTGTGTGTGTGGTGTGTATTTTGGAGCTGTGGTTAACGTTCACTTTCACACCTTCCTGACGCATTCACTTCTTTTCCTCTTCTGACTCTTTAATGCTGTCTCTTTTAATAATGTTTTCTTTCCCCTTAATAATTTCTTTCTTTTTCCTCTTAGTTTTCAAAATTTGATTTTAAATAGCACTTGAGTCCTGCGGAGGAGTCAGTTCCCTGTGAGGGGCTCCTCACGGGCCCTCAGGACCTGGTGCAGACGGTGTCTGGGCGTCTTCCTTCTCGCGTCTTCAGGGTCTCAGATAACTTGACTAGTACTGCTTCCCTCAGGTGTCATCTTTGGAGTAGTGATTTTTTTTTTTCTCCTAGCTCAGCTTTTTATACTTAAGGCTGTTCCTTATTCCTCATGTGAGAGACAGAAAAAGAACATAGAGCTCCCAGCTTTTCCTTAAGCGTTGGTGATGGGGATGTGGACAGATACCTGAGTCATAATTTGTTATAATTAGCATTTTCATTTGTTAATATACCATTTACACATAGAACAAATATTTATTGGCTACCTGTATGTCAGGGACCTTGAGAGACTTTTTAAATGTGTTAAATGCCCCAAGGAAGTGGCTCAGAGCCTCCTTACAGTGTTTCCTCCAAGCTTTATCTGGTGACATAAATGAGCTCTCCTTTAATTTCTCAGACGAGTGTGGCTCTCCTCTTCTTTTTCCTTTCTGGGAGGATTTTATTAAGCAGGTTCTGGAACACCAGCTAACTTTTTAGTAAACATGTTACTATTCCTCCTCTTTTGTGTTTATCTCAAAGTAATAAGAAACATCATTGTAATAAGTTATTATTATAATTAAATTTTCTTAACATATTTCTTAGAGCTCTTTGTAATTGTTGTAAATAGAATATTAGTTAATGCTTTGTGTCTTTCAAAATTTTTATTACTTTTGCGCTTTTGCAAAAAAATATTCAAAAGAAAACATTTGTTGTGTTTGGATCATTCATAAAAATATGGCCAATCTTTAAAGTTATGA